GGTTTCCACGCAATCCTTTATAAATGAGACCCCAGAGCTGTGAGGCACTGCACATTTTCACGTCAAGTTTGGATTTTATAAATCACAACCTTAGCGTAAAAAGTGGCGTACGCAAGTTTCTGGGCTCAAATTGTGCGTACGCCAGTTTTATAAATCCGACCCCTGGACAGTAGGAGTGCAGTGACATCATGTGGGATAAGATCTGGTGCCCGTCCTGTTGTTAGTCTGTTCTGTTGTTTTTAATACACAAACTAGACACAAGAGACTCACATATTTTAAATTCTCTCTCAGTGCTTCGGTCAGTTCATCCTCACTCCTCACATCATGACTGTGGCTAAAAAGAAGATGGTGGTGATGCATCCACTGCCCAGAGTCAACGAAATCAGGTGAGAGCCACAAACCGTTAAGAATCAGCAGGAAATGAAACATTTTGACTTTTCTTTTAGGAAAATATGAAATCTAAATTGATGTACTTTGAACATTTTAGTTTAAAATCACATAAATGTCTCTTAAAATCAACTATTTTCTTCTCTTCTCAGTGTGGAGGTGGATACGGACCCCAGGGCGGCGTACTTCCGTCAGGCAGAGAACGGCATGTACATTAGAATGGCCCTCCTGGCCACCGTACTGGGCAAATAAATCCAGTACGGTTCGTTTTTCAGCAGAACCGATGGAACAGAAGACCTCTGGGTTCTCTTATCTTCAGGTTATTTCCTAGAATTTCTCATTTCCAGCTCTGAGACAGGAAAACTTCACTGTAGGTCATGACGTTTAAGTCAAAATGTTTTTAAGTAATATGCTGCTCTACAGCCCTGCTACACTAAAATTCCATATTTACACCWTCCAGCTGCAATAGTTGATTTATTTACATCTTTACGTTTACAGAAACTTAACAGATTATAGACCAGGAGTACTTTGTGGTTTGAGGTGTTCAACAGGACCCTCTTTATTTCTGTRTGAGTGAGCCATGAAGGGGGCGGGAAGGAAAGCTGGCATTAAAATGAATATTTTTATACTTTGAAATATGTGTTTTGGTGTCTGGATGAGAAAGTATTATTTAAAGAAACCCACTGTTAAAAAAGCTTATTTTCTAATGTAATAATTTAATTTTTTTTAATAACATCAGCCGTTATAGAATTGGTCACATTTTCTCAAATCACCTGTCTTTGATTGGTTTATGGRTATTTTCTGTAACTTTCAAGGATTCATTATGCTGTAAAAGTTTGGAAACCAATTTACATAAAAGATGAACTATGGCAGTCATGGGTTTAATAACTTCATATAAAGGAAAAATAAAGTTGAATTTTTCTTAATCTGTTGTCAAATGTTTCCTAAATCCAAAAAAAATCTGGAAAACAATTGTGGCAAATGCTGAATTGGCATTTAATTTTTTATTTGTTGCGACCTTCTTAGTTACTGCATCATGCTTAAAATTGTGCTTCATGCCATCAAATAGTTTCARAGCTATTCTGCTTTTATTTACTTTTGTATAAAATTGTTTCATTATAAATGAATAATATTGGTATTTTATGTTGTTGTTGTAAAATACACTCAATTTGTAATCTTGTAGTTCGTTGGGAATGACTGCAGAACTCTACTGAAACGAACCGCAAGGAGGGTTGAAACTACGTAGACCACAATGCATTGCAAATTACCCACTGAGCATGCGCATTAAAAGATGGAGATGCCGCTTGATTAAACTGGTTTCCCTGTTACGTTCAAACGTAGTGGGAAATTCGTCAATTTTGTCTAAGCCCAGTGCAAAATCAGCTCTTATTAATCGACAACGGTTTATTGTAGYAGTCTGTTATATAAGATACCGTTTRACTAAAATAAGAGTTTTAAGTATTCACTTGAWATGTTACGTTGCGCATCGTGTTTCTGACGGGCGGATTGATCCGTGAACGCAGCGCATCCCACATCCCTTTATTTCCTGAGAGGAGGAGCGACCCGGTGAGCGGACCGTCGCTGCCCMGCTACCCGGAGCTAACGGAGCCGAGATTCTCTCAACTGCGAGTCGAGACATTAAAATCAAATGCCTCTATGATCCAATTAACCTCACAACGAGATACAAGGTGTTCAGTTTACGCAAGGTGAGTCATTTCTGTGATTTAGTTCGCATACCTGATGGGCGGTGGCGAATCAATGCTAGCTTGTTTCCCMAAAAATAATTGGTGAAATAACCGCGTTTTGATTTATTTTATATCTGTTTGAGTTGCGCCGAATTGATTGCCTAATTGGATATGATTGACTCTATTACTTTGATTTATGTATATGTTTGTAGTGTGCAGATAACGGGAATTCATCAAAAACCCTTTAAATTGAAATGCCGGTTGGTTTAACAGCAACGTGTGCTTCCACGAGCTTGTTGCCTAGGCTAGTTGACGTTTTTGCAGATTTAGCTAATTTTTTTATTTAWTTATTTTTGTAGTTATAAATGGCCGTTTCAAAGCCAGATTAGCTAATCCGAGTCTACACAAAGCTACTTCTGGTGCTTTATGGAAAACCGGAGGAAATGGTCCTAATTAACGGTCTGAATGGTGTAAAATAGAAAGTAGTTATCCCTGAGAGGGGAGATTAGCAAAGGATTAGAGCTCCACAAGGACAAACTGAGAGGAGAATCACGCTGTTGGTTCCTTCATTATCCCAAAAACAACGACCCKTCCCGGTTTGGTCCACACAACTGTGAAGCTTTGGGATTAAATCTGTCACATTACCTGTCTGTGCAGGTGTCAATCACTTCAGTGTGAATAAAACTGACTYATCAGACACTAATCTATAATAAAACACAGGGCTGTGTATTGGCAAGGATTTGGAGATACGATACATAACATGACAGAGGGGTCACGATACGATATATCCCGATATATTGCGATACTATAAGCAAGGCGATATATTGTGATTTTTTTTGTCCAAAAATTCTATTAAATAAAAACCTCTTACAGGGAAAAAAAAAAGAAAAACCAAAATTCACTGTCTCAGAAAATTCTAATATTTCATAGACATACTTTTTGTTCTGCTTTGTATGTGTT